ACATCCAACTTGACAAATAACATTGTTTTAAATGCTCAGATGTTTTGACATCTCTAATGTAAGGGACAGGGCAGACCTTTGGATGATAGGGTCTGTTCTGTGGTTTTTACAGTCAAGTCTTTAAATGATACCATTTTCAACACTGGATATTCTTTGTTTTTAACACTATCATATCTGTGAAATATATAGAGAATATCCAGATTTCGCAGATATGATAGTGTTAAAAACATTTTTTCTGAGTTGTAACTTATGTCTTCAAGGTATAAATCATTAGTTTGGCTTTGATGTTATTTTTTTAATTGGAATTTTTTCATTTTACATACCAGCTCCAGTTCCTCTTCCTTCCCCTTCTCTTGCCCCACTATGTCCACCCCATCCCATCTCCCATCTACTCCTCAGACCCAGTGATCATAGCCAAGCACTGGGCTGCGTGCCTAGAGTTCAGTTGAAGACAGGGAGTATGTTGTTTTGATTTTGTTTTTTAATTAGTGATATACATTTTCTTGTGTGTCTACTGCTCCAATGACTATTCCAGATGGAAGATACAGGACTTTGTTTTATGTTGAGTTTGTGGTTGTGTGTGTGTGTTTGTGTGTGTTGTATCTTTGTATAATTTGAATCTGAGACTTCATAGTTAAGTATAGCATTATATTGTGATGCACAGTGTTCAGTGAATCAGCTGACTTGGAATTTAGACGAGGCACTTGGGTAGCTTGCTTCTTTAAAACCTTGGGTTATGTCAAATGCTGTGAATGATTCCCTCTGTCTTTGAGGAAGATAAAAAATCCAGCTGATCAGGCAGCTCAATCCCCAAGGCTGTTGGTGCAGCCACAATGTACCTCGGAAAAGGACCATAGGACAGTTTAGGAAGACACATGCCTGTCTGGCATTGAATGCAATGGGCAAAGCTGGGGGCTCTTTGCTGTTGCTGGGTCTGCAACAGCTGTGTGGCACCCAGAGTGGCCCTCACTGACTCCTGTAGCTTTTTTTCCTCTGGTATCTCAGAGCCACCTGTGAAATTTGTTTATGCTCATTACTTTAAGGCAATGATCATAGCAGTAGCCTGTCTATTTAGGGCATGAGGTCACTGGGTGGAGAGGCACAATGACCCCTCAGGTGGCAGCTATGTTCCTTCCTGGAAAAAGGCAATGAAGGAATGAATGTAGACCCAGCGGGAAATATTGCCCTTGGATTTCTGGTGCTCTCAGTCAAAAGCTGGTAGGGGAAAATGCTAATAATCTTGACCATGCATTCTCAAGACTGCTCCAGGAAGCACACCAATCACTCGGCCCATCCTGGCATCCTCACACACTCCTCAAAGTTTTATTTCCCTCATAATCAGCTCTAATTGTATCTTCAGCATCGCCAATGACTTTGGAGGGTTTCGCTTCATGTTTATGACTTTGGGTGTTGGAAGAAAGTTCTTCCCGACATCTGTTCCAAATGTGTTTATCTGTAATTTTAATTCATGCTCACTTGCCTTGTCATCTGGCCTGGACCGAAATTAGCTGAGATTATTTGTACTGTTTAAGATCTTATGCTCTTCAATTAAAGCCTCCCAAAGAATCTTGGTGCCACATGAATTTTATTCCCGTGCGTCCTGATTGTTTCAGGTGGGTTTATAATTGAAACGATCTCAGAGATGACTTCAGGGGATTAGAGGTGAATGAGATTTGGAAAGGAGGCATTTAATGAAGACGTGGGCTTGTGTGCACACAGAGGAGCTGGCAGTGTTTCGGGGGAGGGGTTGTGCTCTGAATGTTGGCGGATGGGTGAGGTCCAAAGCCCTGCAAACGTGAGCCGAGGGCTGCTGCTGTACTGAGAGCAGAGGCATCCGGAGGGTAGCACAGTCTAGAGAAGACAGGAACCCCGTGCCCATGGATGTACATGATATGGTGGTGAGGGTCTCCAACCCCCTGAGGAGCTCCACTGATCCAGACAGAAGACTGGAAACTGGGGCTGGGCTACCTCAGACAGGAAGACAGTTAAGTGTCAGTGATTGCAAAAGAAACTGAGTTTTTCCTAAGATAGAACCTTGGAGGATGTGAAGCCCACTCTCCTTTTACAGCCCTGTCCTGATGGCATAGAGCTCTGTCCACAAAAGACTAAAGGGATCCTCTCATTCCCCAGGGCCCTTGTTTCTCTTGTGGCATGTATTCTGGTTATAGAGTCCCTAAGGACATTCAATTTCTCATAAAACAACTCTCTTAACCAGTTGGTAGATGGTGCCGACTCTGCCTGTGAGGCCCTTGGGCCAGCATGCCATTGCTCCTGTGTGAATTACAAGGTGCAGTGGTATAGACTTTCTTAAATTTGATTTGGGGCAGAGGAATTTGGAGTGTGTGTTTGAATGCCCAGCTACACAACTCAAAGGTGAACTGCTTAGCTTGTTGGTAAGGAGTGCATTCGCAGGAGACCCGGGGCAAGCTGTGCTCCCTCCAAGAAAGTGGTTCTCATCCTGTAGATCATGACCCCTTTGAACATGAACAACCCTTTCACAGGGATCACCTAAGACAATCGGAAAACAGATATCTGCATTATGATCCATTCATAAAAGTAGCAAAGTTACATTTAATGTTGGGGGTCACCATAACACGAGGAACTGTATTAAAGGGACTCAGCATTAGGAAGGTTGAGAACCACTGCTCTATAGTCAGTATTTATTTTAGCTATCTCAGCAAACCTAAGTCTTGCCTGGGGTCAGGTTTGCTCTGTCTTTATTGGAGAAAATGTCATAGGACAAAGCACATAGATGCTGTCTGTCATTGGTGGCAGAAGCCCAAGGAGAAGCAAGAGGAGTGAATGGTTTTGTCATAATCATGAAGAGAGGAGAGGGAGGGAGGGAGGGAGGGAGAGAGAGAGAGAGAGAGAGAGAGAGAGAGAGAGAGAGAGAGAGNGAGGAAGAAGGAGGAGGAGGAGGAGGAGGAGGAGGAGAGAGGAGAGAAGGAGAGGGAGAGAGGAAGGGAGAGAAAGAGAGAGGGAGGGGGAGAGAGAGGAGGAGAGAAGAGAGAGGGAGAAGGAGAGGGAGAGAGGGAGAGAAAAAGGAAGAGAGGGAGGAGAAGAAAGAGAGGGGAGAGAGAGAGGAGGAGAGAAGAGAGAGGGAGAAGGAGAGGGGGAGAGGGGGAGAGGGAGAGAGAGGGTAAGAAAGAGAGAACGAGCTAGCACGACTTAGACAGTGGGAATGTGGGGGCTTCACTATAATGGAGTAAAATGGTTTGAAAGAAACAAGATTGGTTCCCTAATGTTACCCTCACAGAAATGCAGATCCAGGGCCACAGACAGTCCAGATTTTTGACCCCTCAGTCAGAGAAGTGTGACACACTCACTATGTAGGTTTCCTCATTCATTTCTTTGAACATGACATGGGCATTTGCTGCTTTGTGTTTGGATCCATGGTAGTTTTTGATTCACCTCCATTGCCAAGCATAGTAACCCGGTAGATCCTTGGTGCTTACCAAGGCTTTGATGGACGGATGATTGGCCCTTTGCTGGGAACTACAGGCAGGTGTGCATCCTGAGCATCACCTAAGCTGTGGTCCAGCAGAGTGTCTGCCTTTCTCAGAGCACTTCCTCATCTTCACCACTTGAAGTCTCGGGATTGGGTCCTCCTCATCTCGGTATCTCATCCATGAGTACCATTCTGTTGGCGGGAAAGTGATTTTTCTTCTGATGTTGAATCTCCAGGCAGTGAAAAGTAATGGAATGTTTCATAAAGTAAGAAACAAGCTAGTTTCTTTGGAGAGGTGCAGGGGTTTCATGCACTGGAAAATGCCAGTGTCTGATGGAGTACTGGTTTCTCCAGGCCAGGCTCGGCCGTCCTTGAATTCCCTTGGATGATGGAAATGATGGCTTGCCTGTCACATGGGTGGGACATAGAAGCCAGGAGTCATGTTTGCATTAATAACCATCTCTTTCCATGACCCACTAGTTCAGTCTTCAAAGGGAATGAATGCACTTAGCCTCTCCAGTCTCAGTTTGTTTATCTTTAAAATACTTAGTTCCAGCTTGGTAGGACAATGAGGATTCAGTGACCAGCTGAATGGATGTCTGCTGAGTGCCTGCAGTGCCTTGGGCTATTGTCTTGGCCAGGTGGCCAAATTTACATGATCCTTTCCCTCACTGAGGTGAGCTTCTAGTAGGGGGACAAACATCTACTAATAAAAGCAAAAATCTCCCGTAGTTAGCCATAGTCAAGGCATTGTGCGAAAGAATAATGGGGTTTACTTTGGACCGGGGAAATAAGAACCGTTTCTCTCAATCTGAAGTGGGTGGGGGAACTGATGTAGCTTTATTCAGGTACCACTGACAAATAAAATGTGCACTCAGATTTGCAACACGCTTTGATGTGTACATCCCTTATGAAATTATCAAATCAATCTAATGAATGTGTCAGCTATTGGTCTCACAGGCTTACCATCTGGCTCATCATTTTTGCGTGCTCGGTGAGAACTTTTAGATGAACCCTTTCCAGGAATTTTCTAGCATATGTTATTACCACCCATAAACCCCATTCTGTGCAATAGAGGGTCATCACTTACTCTTTTTGTTTAACTGAAAAGCTTCCCCCATTGCTTTGATGGAGATTCCCTCCTTGCTCAATGAGTGGGATCTATTTAACCTTAGCTTGAAGGCTGAGTTATTGGAGAGTGGATATTCAAGGTCCTTGGATCAGAAAAACAGCCTAGAGTGCTGGAGGAGCGGTGGGGGTGTCTCTCAGTATGGAGAGAGCTTGCTCAGAAAGCAGGAAGTTCCCAGGTCATTCCCCGCATTTCAAAGACTCAGTGTGGTGCTGTAATTCCACTACTAGGGATCATTCTATGCTACATAAGGTTTTTGAGGTTAGCCTGGGATGTAAGGGACATTGCTTCAAAAAACAAAACAGAAGCAGCAACAATAAATAACAAATAAGTTAAAAAAAATACGGGGGGAGTTAAAGGAATGGAGAAAAGATAACATTAAGGATTTTGTTTTTCCTTTTTGTTTTATTTTTTGTGTGTTTTTTAAATATGGAACACTTCACGAATTTGCATGCCATCCCTGCTCAGGGACCATGCTAATCTTCTCTGCATCCTTTCAACTTTAGTGTATGTGCTGATGAAGCTAGCACAGATTTTGTTTTCAAATGAAAAGCCCTTGCAAGATTTTGAATGGAGGGAAGGAAGGAGGGGGTATATGTCATCCTGTGGCGAGCGAATCATAGGAAGTCAAAGGGTTGAAGGAAGGCAGATGAGATGGTTTTTGTTTGAGAGGATAGCAGAGTGGGAAAGAGGTTTTCATTAATATAGCTGTGGAGAAGAAGAGAAGCAAAGAAATTGAAGATAAATTTATGGAACAGGGGACTGCTGTACGACTCAGCCTTAGAGTGCTTGCGTTACACATGCAAGTCCTTCAGTGTGATCCCAGCTCCCCAAAGTGACATATACTTACATGCATACGTCCATGCATGCATACACACCAAAGGTGAAGCTGATGGGACTCAGGAGGGCTAGTTTACCAGGGATGAAGGCTAACGTGACTTCCATGTCTCTGGTTTGGGTAGATGAAGGCACCACAGAGAGATGTGGAGAGTCTAGGAGACTCAGATTCAGAAATAAGATCACAAGTTCAGCTTTCACACTGGTGAGCCGTGAGGTAGCTCTGAGGCTGGAATGAAGACATTGGTGGGCAGTGGCCTTTACACAGCATAAGTAAAGCCAGGCACAACAGAGTCAACTCTGCTCTGTGCTCTGTGTTCTGTGCTCTTAGAGGGGCTTGTGATTCCCTCGCTTTTGCTCGTGGAGAAAAGTAGATACTCTCAGCATGTGTCCATGAAAGATTTAGTATTTAGTTTAATTTCTGATCAGAACAGATTAGCAGACCTGCAGGTGGGTCCTAAATGAACGGAATTTTGGGGGGCTGGGGGGTGAGGAAAGGGTTTATTTGGCTTACTTGATCACACAAATCCATCATTGAGAAAAGCCGCAGCATAGATATAAGCTAAGGAGCCTGAGAGTTTAGACCCTCTTGATCACTATCCCGAGACAAACATGTAGTGAAGGTGGACTGGGACATCAATGGGCGAAGGGGAGAACTGGTGACAACCAAAGACGAATACTCAGAAAAGAAAGCTTGTGTCTTAAGTGACATGCTCACCAGACACATCAGATAAGAGAGACAGAGCCATCGGAAGGATTGTCGGGAGGGAGGATTAGCAGAGAATTTATGGGCTGGCAGCCTGCTGAGATACTGAGGTGGTACTTCAAGAGTGACGATGGCCAGCAGCGAGAACGTTTTCAACCCGGGCTCAAGGCTGACTCACAACCAGGTACAGTTGCTAAAGGTCATCAGGCTATCTGCTTAAAACAGGCAGAAATGATGGTTTGTGAATGAGCGCACTAGTAAGAACATCTAAGGAAGAAATACATACGATGGCCTAATGGAGTCTGAACTGGTGGTGGTGGTAGGATTGCTTCAGTTAATCTGCTAGCTCCCTAACTTACCCACTAAGACGCTTGTCTGTCCGTCAGTCCACTCACCTATGACTCACACATCCACACAACTAGACCTGTACAGTACAGAACTTTTAGCCCAGTCTGGCCTTGAACTTTGGATATAGCTGAGGGTGAACTTGAACCATTGCTCTTTCTGGCTCCGCCTCCCGAGTGCTGGGACCACAGGGGTGTACACCATTCCCAGTTTGTGTAGTATGGGCATGGAAACTCAGGGCCTCGTGAATGCTAGCCTGGCATTCGGCCACTGAGCTACACCCCAGCCTTTAAAAAGCTTTGATTAGAGACCTGGTTCAGACACGGACACTGACCTAGGAAGACTGAAGTTGAGCTTTTCATCCAGAACACTTAGAGTTTCCCGACAGGGACACACTAAAAAGTCTACTGTTTCCATTGTTATAGGCTTATTTTTAAAGTTTTACAAGGTAAATAATAATTATGTATTTTATGAGGTCCAAAATGATGTTTTTTTTTTTTTTTGTTTTTGTTTTTGTTTTTTCGAGACAGGGTTTCTCTGTGGTTTTTTTGGAACCTGTCCTGGAACTAGCTCTTGTAGACCAGGCTGGTCTTGAACTCACAGAGATCCGCTTGCCTCTGCCTCCCAAGTGCTGGGATTAAAGGCGTGCGCCACCACCGCCTGGCCCAAAATGATGTTTTGATACATGTTCATGATGTTTGTAGGGTTTGATTTCAGGCTGTTGTATGCATGTGGGGAAAAAGCGAGACATGAGGAAACCAGATAGAGAACATGCGTGTGCTAAGAGATGAACATATGGCATTGGGTCATGTGTCACAACGGTGGGAAACTTGATGAGTTCTGACTTAAGGAGTGACGTTCAGGCACTTCCTCCAGCAGAGAGAGTCACAGTGCCTCAAATGACCCCTCAGACAGCAAGAGTACCAGGTCCTTTTCATTGTAATTACAACTGCAAGCCTTTTAGGGCCTGCTAGAAGCATTCATGGGTGATAGCTTCCAGATTTTTGAGGGTTAAAATCATGTTCTGATTTTGGTCAGGGTAGTCACCGGTGGACGGTCCCAGTGAGTGTGACTGGCATCTGGTCAGTTTCACTAGGGCTCTGAATCTACTCTCTAATGCCCCAAGAAGTGGCTATACCTCTGACCTTTTATTAGAAGGATATATGGCACATGTTAGGAATATTTCTTAGTGCAAGCTCTCTGCCGATGCAAAATTTCTCAATCAAGCCAAATCAAAACAAGCCGAATTAAGAAATATCCAGGTTTAATGGGAGATCTGAGCTCTCGGGTGGCCCCGAGGGGGAACCAGGAAGCCATGGGAATGACCCCCGGAAGGAAGAAAGGGAGACCACGTGTTCCTCTTTTGGGAGATCACTTAAGTACCCTGGGGAGTGGTCCTGACCCCATCCCCAGGGAGGGGGTCAGGACCTGGCCTGCTGTGATTTGGAGTCCAGACCAGGCCTGGGGGCTTGGATAGATGCGAGAGACTGGGGCCTATGCTCCCAACTTGACAGTACAGTAGAAGTTAACTGGACTGGCCTCATTCCCTGATGTCTGCACAGCTTCCATGAGGCCTGTTGTCACACACTCCAATGTGGGGAGAGCAGCCAGGTCTTTAAATTTCATCTTTTTCAGAGAGGAGACCAAGCTGCCTTTCTTCTTAGCGCCACCCAGCCAGATTTATAGGAAAGAGGACAAGGTGGGCAACCATCCTGGGGGATGTGGGAGCTCAGTCACAACACTCAGATCAGGTGGTCTGCCATGTTCCCGAGACTTGCGTCTGTGCCTCTCTGGCTGCTGTTGCTTTCGCTCATTTCTTGTTTCCTGGACACCTGGGTCAAGACAGGTCTCAGATCACCGGATCTAGTTAGAGTCTCCTGGCAGCAACCCCGTGGTCCTTCGGGTGCAGCCTGGGCTGAAGAGGGAGCCCAGAACAAAATACTAATGTTGTGTATACATGTAGCTATTAATATCATGTAGATACAGGTTCCTTTCCACACGGTGGAATAAAAATGCCCCATTTCCATGCGCTAATCCCTCTCAGGTGTTTGAGTTTGAGCTTTCCTTTTCATATCTTACATTGAGGCAGCAACAGTATTTATTAAGTTTTTTTGAACTTTAGCTGTCACTGTTGGCAAAATCACCACCACCACCATTATTATCATTATCACCACTATCAACATAACCAATAGGATGGATGGGTACCTAGTACCAACTTCTTTAGCTCTATCAGGATCTGTTTCAGGTGTTTAATGTTAATTGGCTCTTTGAATTCTTCGTGTCAGTAATACAATAATACTTACTTAAAACATCTACAGTAATACCAGGCATATTCCATGTGCAGGAATCTTATTATTATTACATAGTAAAAGGTATTACCTTCTTGGCTAAATGCTGTTGGTTTAAATTTGTTTTTGAAGAAGAACAGTTCTAGATTCTTCCCACTTAAAGGATTTAAAATGTAATTTTACCTAGTCTGGGGATTTGCATAGTTTTTAAGCCAGAGCTTGTACTTTCCATAATCCATATGTCAAATGGAAAAGGGTAATTTTTCTGTGTGTAAGAGGGTCAGGGGACATGACCTCGCTGTAACTGCCTGTCATGGCTGAGGGTCTCAGCAGCATTTTGAAATCTCCACTGTCATCTTTTCTGTATGTACTGAGGCAGGCGAGGCAATGTGCAGTGTTTGTTAGCTGCAGACTCTGAATTATACATGAGATTTCTTGATCCCTAGGTACGGTTTCCTGTGAGACGATTCTATGTGATGTAGCATAATCATTAGTATCTTCAAAATCTACAGATTTACAGATGATAAAGTACCTGCATATATCTGACCATGTTCGACCTATACTTTTATATAGCCTAGCCTTGTGATTCAACCCCCAGTTGCTATATCGTGTGTGTTTATTTAGTCTTTGCAGTAGATGGTGGGGGTATAACTAGAAAGAGAGAGATAGAGACAGAGACAGAAAGAAAGAGAGAGATGGAGAGAGAGAGAGGGAGAGAGAGACAGAGAGACAGAGAGAGACAGAGCAGCCATGTTAAATAAGTGTGATGCCCTTAAGACGAGGAAGCATGCTGGAGTTGGCGTTTTCCCCGAGATCAGGTTTTTCATCTCTGTTGGTTTTCTGCATGACTTCCAATGGACAGGAGGCAGCCTGGTGCTAGTGTTATCTGCCTAAGTGAAAATCTCATAGGGTGGTTCCCGCAAATACTGAGAAGGAAACCCCTAAGAAAAGGCTTGCCTGTCAGTCTTGAATCTAGAGTCAGATCTACAGGAGAAAAGTTGGCATTCCAGAAAGCTCAGGGCTAGTGGATATCCTATCTGTGTGTCTCAGTATTCACCTCGAGGCAAAGATGCCCTTAAAATGAACTCCTGGTGAGAATTCCTTCAGGCACCTGGCAGGAGGTATCACAAATACTAAAACCCAAGTCAGGAATATTTCCTACATACCCAGTTTCAAACAATATGAACTCAAAAAGAAAAGAATCATGTACAATGAAAGGAAAAGAAGTTAAGACGCTATCAATGATGTTCAGCACAAATAACCAACTGCAAAATGGCATGCGCGGGCTGACTGTAGCGAAGGCGTCAGCATAAACACATGTTTAAAGGATTAAAAGAGGAATAGAGGAAATGCT